CATGCATAGGACATATGCTGCTATCAGCTATCACTTCGGAAGACGACAACTGGCTGGCAGAGGAACGTGAATACATATGCAATCGCAGCCTCCCCTCTACAGACCATGCGCGTCTCCCTCCGCCGAAGCAGAGTTCCCTCAGGACGCATGACTTTCCATGCATGGTGCCCGCAGCACCATCCTGATTGGGTCGCTCCCCAGCAGGCGCCTTAGCCCATCGCCCTGCTGTCATTCGTCTTGCTCGGCCCCATCACGACGTGTTGGCCCCAAAGAGCAATGGGAATACCCTCGCGCAATGCGCCCCACGCTCGGCCAGCAGCGTGCAGGGAGTGCTCACATGGGGAAGAGACATCTCCCTGTGGGTAGGGCATGCTCGCGGCTTTGTGCTCTCAGTCTGCGATATGAAACCTTGTGGCCTGCAGCCCATAGTTCACCGGCCCAGCCGGAGAACGCAACATAGCTTGAAGTACTGTCACCTGCTGCCAACGGCCTAAGCCTTGAGCGTCGTAATATCGGTGTATATTATCGTGAACAACACAACTAACAGGAACCCTAGGAAACAGCAACAGAAATCGAGCCGCTCACCTTCTCCGAAGCCCATGATTCAACCTCACGAACCTTTCTTCCTGCAACCACGTAGCCGGTGAAAATGCGCGAAGGTTCAGGATTCAGGGGTTAGGGCCTACTGATCGCAACACGGAACACGTCCAAAGAATCAGTCGAGGCCGATGTCATCCCACGCCCCGACCCACGGATCCTTTAGCATGCAATCATATCCCATCCAAGTGCGAGGCAAGACCGCCCGAAAAGAACCAGAACCTGCATGCATGGCAGCTCGATGCATGTGGGCAGTTGTGCACTGTGCCCACAACCGGCTTCTGAAGGATTAGTTTCGTGTCTCAGCCCCAATGCCCAGAAGCTCGTGTCACAAGCTTAGGGAGTCCAGTACATGCCCCGCCTTCCACACTAAACCTTATTATAGCCGGTATCGTGCTGCTGGCCTTGATCGACCGGGTTGCCTTCTTAGTTGCTTTACCTGCAGTCGATATGATGGCTGCTAGTGTTGAGTAAGCAAAACAATTCTCAATCCTTCCACTTCAACCGGAAAGCTCCCCTAAACCGCCTAAACCCTAAACCCTAAACCCTAAACCCTAAACCCTACCCCCAACCCTAACCTCCCCAAGTCTGAAGAAACTAGAAAGGCCGAATCCTGGAACACCCCCTTGTGCAGTGAGGATGTGTACTATAGGGGCCTTAACAATTCTATCAGGGTTTGGGGCTCCTCTATGGTGTAATTATAACAAGGGACCCCCAAAAAAAATATAGGTAATTAATAAGGCCCCTTTTTTACGCACATATGGCCCTTCTGGCTAGCGGCTAGCAACTGTTCAAACTCGTGCTCATCCTTGTTACAGCTATGAGATGAATCTGATGAGTGCTAAACCTCTAGAACCCTAAAACCGCGAACCCCAAACCCTGAACCCTATAACCAAAAACTCCAAACCCTGAACCCTACCACCCCAAAACCCTTGTCCTAAACCCTAAGCCAAAACCCTGAAAGCCTAAGCCCAAAAAACCTAAAACCCTAAACCCTACAACCCTAACCTCCTCCTAAATCCCCGAATATAGGGGTCTTAGTAAATTAGAATAGGGTTTGGGGGTATATTAAACAAAAATTATAATAAGGAACCCCCAAAATAGTATTGGTAAGTATTTAGGCCCCTATATTAAACCTAGACCTTGAGCCCTAAACCCTAAACCCTAAACCCTAAACGCTAAACCCTAAGCACCCTAAAGTCCGAGGAGTCCGACCAAGCCATGACCAGCTTCGCGAAGTCCAAGTCCAGACGCCATCGCTGAGGATCTCGAAGGTCAGACCTTTCTGACAAGCCCCTTTTGGGTGGTTGTCAAAATTAGGGTCCCTTTTTGGGGTACCCTAAATAATGGGTGTCGTATTATAATAAGCACCCAAAAAGGGACCCTAATTCTGACAAGCTCCTTTTACTCACATCCCTCTGAGTCTTAGGGTTTACGGTTTAGTGTTTAGGGTTCAGGGTATATTGTGTTGTGTTGAGGGTTTAGGGTTTAGGGTTTAGTCTTCAGAGTTCAGGGTTTAGGGTATATTGTTTAGTGTTAAGGGATTCGGGTTTAGCGTTTAGTGTTAAGGGTTTATTGTTTAAGTGTTAAGGGTTTAAGGTATGTTGTTAAGTGTTAAGGGATTAGGATTTAGGGTTTAGGGTTTAGCGTCAAGGGTTTAGGGTTCTGTTTTAGTGTTAAGGGTTTAGGGTTTAGTGTTTAGGGCTTATTGTTTAGTGCTAAGGGTTTAGTGTTTAGGGTTTAGGGTTTGTTGTTTAGTGTTAAGGGTTTAGTGTTAAGGGTTTAGGGTTTATTGTTTAGTGTGAAGGGTATGGGGTCAGGGCTCGAATATAAAGGATTCTATAAGGGCTAGCATGGCGGCTGTGAGGAACCTCACTATGCTTGGCTGCGGTGGGGGAGGGGGTGTTGCTGCCGGTGCGGTCATTGCTGGTTTCGCAGTACGTTCTCTTCTGCATTGCTGCTGTGCCCGAACCCTAAATCCTGAGCCCTAAGCCCTTAGACCCAAGCAAAGCCACCCAGAGAGCTCCGAGGTTCCAACAAGCGAACCGAAAAAAAACAAATGCCGAAAAGCCTAAAGCAGAAGAACTAAACCTTTAAAGCCTAAAGCCCTGAGGCCCTAGAGCCATAAAGCCCTAAAGCTAAGACCTTAAAGCTCTAAACCTGCACCCGAATCCCTGCAATACCCTCTTAGAACTCTTATCCAACCCCTTCAAGAAGAACCCGGCAACCAAGTTTCGACTATTCTTGTTCTTCTTGATAGTTGTTATTCTTATAGTGTGCTTTGCTGATACGACTACTGTTAATAAATGTTACTGTTCGTATTGTTTTTGCTGTTGTTACTACTATAGTACGGATATTACTCGATTACTCCATTGCTCTATTACCCGAGTGTTACTATTACTACTGCTATTACGACTGCGGTACAATTACCGCTCTGTTGCCACTGCTATTGCTGTTACAACAGACATTCCTAGTAGTAGTAGTAGTAGTAGTAGTAGTAGTAGTAATAGTAGTAGTAGTGGTAGTAGTAGTAGTAGTAGTAGTAGCAGTAGTAGGAGTAGTGGGAGTAGTAGTAGTAGTAGTAGTAGTAGTAGTAGTACTAGTACTAGTACTAGTAGTAGTAGTAGTAGTAGTAGTAGTAGTAGCAGTAGTAGTAGTACTGTGATGATGATGATGAAGAAGAAGATGATGATGATAAGAGTTACTACTCTTATTCGTATTGTTACCCGTATAATGCAGGGGCCTTAGTAAATAGAATAGGGTTTTGGCCCATTATACTAT